CTAAAAGAACGACTCAATTTCGATAGCCTTTATTGAAGAAGGCCGGAATATTTTTGCAGTATGTCAGGAAATATCGATTGATATTGGCATTTATTATATCAAATCGATTGTTCGAGTAGTACAGAATATATTTTATCAAAAAATATATCAGTCACAACAGAACGAACAGAGATCAACACTAACACGAGTAAAAGTTTCTGCCACACAGCAGCATTTTTGATGCTCAACACAAGACTTTAAATATTGGTTAAATTGTAATTTTTTTCTTTTTTTTAGGCTAAAATAGATTAAATGAACATGATTCTATTCAAAAAATATTATTTTGGAAAAATATTGTCATGTTCAATACATTTTAAGGGTCAAGAGTTAACCATCAAATATGCTGCTGTGTGGCAGAAACTTTTACTCGTCAACATAGGTGTTGATCTCTGTTCGTTCTGTTGTGACTCATATATTTTTTGATAAAATATATTCTGTACTACTCGAACAATCGATTTGATATAATAAATGCCAATATCAATCGATATTTCCTCACATACTGCAAAAATATTCCGGCCTTCTTCAATAAAGGCTATCGAAATTGAGTCGTTCTTTTAGGTTAATTCCCATTTTTTCAGTTTTTATTTCAAATATTTATTTATTTTGAGAATTATTTATTGTTTTCTACTTATTCTAGCAATTTCTGGTCCATTCGGACCTTTATTTTCTATAATAAGGGTTATTTTCTGAATGTAAGGTTGTCTGTACAAATTTTTGGCAATTTTGATAGATTTTACAGATTTTTTCAAAAATTTTTATCAGTAAATGATTTTATCGGTGCTTAGTTTACCTAATATAACTAAATTAAGGAGCTCTTTTTAAAAATATATTCAAAAAATGCAGTAAAGTAAAAAATCACACAATGTTTTAATTATATGGCCACTTCAAAGTCGATGTATTTTCATAAAAACCGTTATTTATGGAAAAATTGCATGCAATAATTATCCATTTTCACACTAAATCTCTTACGTGCAGTATATCAAAGTGTTCTGAATCAAAAAATTTTCAAAAATACTTCAAACGAATCGAGGGCTGATCAAAAAATGTTTACCACAGTAAATGTTTTAATTCTGTGACCACCACTGTATGTGTATAAAAAGTACAAAATGGTACTATTTGCATATAGTTAATCGTATAGAGATAAAATCCTGAAAATAGGAATTAGGACTACTATTTTAGTACAGATTTGAGGTAGCTTTAAAAAACGTGTACGAAAAGTACTAAATGGTACTAAAATTCGTACAAGTTGGATTTAGGTGAACAAATAGAGCTGGAGTTTTAAAATTGAGAATTAAAATGACTGTTGGAGTGGGATTGAGGTAGATTAGGAAATTTGTACTTATTGTTACGAAAAGTACAAAATTTAGTACAATTTGGATTTTACTTGAACGGATAGAGCTGGAAGCCTGAAATTTGGAATTAAGGTCACTGTTGAAGATTGAGCATAGATACATCTTTGAAAATTCGTATTTATGTGTACGAAAAGTACTAAACCACACTAGATTTGGTACAATTTGGATTTGAGTGAACGGAGAGACTAAATTTGGACACCAGAATTATAGAATTAAAATTACTGTTGGAAGGCAGTAGTTTAGGAAATTCTTCATTATGGAAACAAAAAGTACCAAATGGTACCAAATATTTTACAATTTGTTGTTGTGTGAATGGATAGGGCTGAAATTTGGAATTAAAACTAGTGTTGGAGTGCTATATTTAGATATGAAGGTAGTTTTGAAAATTCGTAATTATGCATACTAAATGGTACTAAATATGAAACAATTTAGATGTGAGTGAACTGATAAAGATGGAAAAATTAAATTTGGAATTGAAATTACAGTATTAAGGAAGTATTGGAAATTCGTACTTATGGATAAGCACTAAATGGTACAGTTGGTTTTGTGTGAACGGGCAGAGTGGGACTCCTAAAATTTGGAATTAAAATATTGAGTGTAGTATTAGGACATGGAGGTAGGTTTGAAAATTCTTCATTATGTGTACTTAATGGCACTAAACTTGGTAAGATTAAGATTAGAGTGGAAAACTTTTAGAGATGAAAAACTTATATTTGGAATTAAAATCATTGTTAGATTTCAGGATTGAGGATTTATGGAAATTCGAACATATAAATACGAAAAGTACTAAATTGTACTAATTATGCTGGAATCCTGAAGTTTATGATTTAAACGACTGTTGGAGTGTAGAATTGAGGAAGTTTTGGGAACTCGTATTTACTTTTACGAAAAGTAATAAATGGTACTAAATTTTGTACAATTTGGATGTTAGGAATACATCTGGAATCCTTAAATATAAACTACAATTTTTAGTGGTGTGCATGACTGAGGTAGTTTCGGAAATTCGTATTTATGGTACACTAAATTTGGTACAATTTGGATTTTAGTGAACGAGTAGAACTGTAGGACTGGGATAGTTTTGGAATATGGGTACGAAAAATACAGAATAGTACCAAATCTGGTACAATTTGTATCTTGGGGAACAGATAGAGCTGAAATTCTGTAATTTGGACTTACGATTACTATTTCAAAGCAGGATTAAGATAGTAATAATATATATGGGAAATTACAAAAATCTTTTAAATTCCTTGAAACTGAGGTTTGAAAACTTATAACTCGCGAAATATGAACATATTGCATATAATTTAAATTCATTTCTATAAAATGAAGTGTTCTTGTAAAAATCGTAAAATACTGGTAATAAATAATAAGTTGGGTGGAAGCTGTGATAGTGGTAATGTAAAAAAATGGGTGAAAATTTGTTGAAGCCAACGAGTTTTTTTGTGTTCCTACCTGATTTGTAGCTCAACGACACAACGCACGCTCATATGATCAGTGAATAAGTTGCAGAACACCCCATGGACAATATGATTCTAATGTATGATTTTTCGATATAATCACTGCATCCACCCAAAAAGGATGCTGACATTTTGAAGCCGGATTTTCGGTGTTTTTTGAATTTTTCTTTATTATAGGATTGTAGAACTCGTGATTTTGATTCGTTTGGTGTATATCTCATGAATGTGCTCACCGTACCTTCTTTGCAATTGGTTTCCAAAGTCGAAAATTTGGTGCGTACATTTTTATAAAAAAACCTATTTTTTGAGTCTAAATTTAAGAAGGTCCACTCAAATGCCGTTGAACCCCGTGTATGTAATGAGCCCAGCCATGTTCAATTCCGGCGGATATAGGTACCTTGAATGTGGGAGAAACTGCAAAAACTTATTTTGACTAATTCGCGTATATAATCGTGTTTTTCTTCGAATTCATTACACATACATTTATTACTGTGTTATCATATTCGCAAATCTGTGTGAAAATAGGTTAAAAATACATCGATACGCGAATAATATGCGTATTTTATCCAAAATTGATTGTGGCGGCACATCCGCGGTTCTTAACCAATTCTTTTAAAATAGGTGTACTTTGTGTATTTTCATTGGAGATTACTGAACTTGGATGCGCAAAAAAATCATATGCACGTTGCGTTATTTTTGTCCATTTTTAGGGTTTTTGAATAGTAAAGTTCATCGAGTGGAACACTTTGGCCGCTTAATGAAACATCAAAAATTCATAGTTATTTGAAGAGATTGATTCGGTTTATACGAAAACCGCATGCGCATCAATTGATTTCAACGAATACGCGAACTGTATGCTTTATAATGTTGATCATGTTCATATACTGTAACTGCAATATATTTGGTAATTTTTAAAGTCAAAACTCTAAACAGAGGAGTCTACCAATATTTAACAATCAGCTAAAAGAATTTGTAGAAGAAAGCGTCACATATTTTAGAAGATTAAGGCAAAACCACATTCCCTTAACCATACTAAAAAATCAAAAATTGAAAAAAAAAATATTTTGGGCAATTCAAAAATTAATTAATTTTATTTTCAGACATTTTCATACTTTTATTTGTTTTTCGCGACTATTAAACCGTATTTCAATGTGATTTGACAAGTATGCAAAGAAAACAAATGTGTTTAATCTTTTGTAAAGAAATCCGCGAATTACAACCAATAGGAATTAATTTAATTTATATTTGAAATACAAGATTTAAAGCCGCTATAACTTTTGTGCGCAGCATCCAAATTTGTGAACGCGAACAGATTTCCAATCAGCATCTTTTTCTTAACCTATGTACCAAAAATCATAAATGTGCTCGCAAAAAAATTTTTCAAATTTTTTTAATGGAATTTTAAAAGAATTTTATAATTTCCCATATATCCATATATATATATATATATATAAAATTTCATTTATGGTACACTTGTTTTTAACTTTTAGTACATATTTTTTAGTTACGGATTTTTAAAAACTCGGCATTATTACTACGTAGCAATATTGTCCTTTATGAAAATTTTCAATTTCTAATATCAGTGTTGATGATCAGCCAATCACTAATGTACGACTGGACCTCGGATTTTGCATATTTTTTAATACTTAAATACTAATTTTTTTACAAACCAATGTTCTTTGTTCGTTCAAATCTGAAAGGTTGTTTTGTATTTTCATATATTTACACAAATTTATTGTATTTTAACAATACAAATCAACTTAAAATATTCAATCTTTGACAAATTAAATATGCAAAAATTGTAGGTCTACTTATATCGTAATCCTTATATATATTTAATATCGCTCATTTGCTGCAAGACAGGCATAACTCAAAAAGACTTTGATTTTGCAGAAAATTTACTCGCACTTTATTTGGGACAGAGGAACTTCTACAGCTCCTTAATTCGAGTGTGTAAGAGATATTCATATGCATTTTTGTATACAACATGAGGTCTATTATAGCGAATAATTGTGCATCATTAACTCGAAAATAAAGTTTTTTTTGAGTTATGCCTCTCTTGCAGCAAATGAGCGATATGTATTTAAATATGAATACTTTTTTTATTAATAAGAATTAAAAAATTTTATTTCTTTGTTTTAATTATTTGCAGATCTAAAACATATCAATAAAATGGACTTTATCTGAAACAACATTAATTTTAAAGAAACCGAGTGTCAATGAAACATTTCACAAATAAAATAAAAACTAAATATATACATGCATATATAGTTAAGTAAAAATAAAAACACATACATAACGATGATGGCCAAATCTAATATAAATAAAATTGTATATCAGCCATATAATCAGGAGAAACAGCAGCAGCAGCAACAACAACATCAACAAATGCGATTACCAAGTGACAAACAATTCAGCACTGACCATTAATTACAGTTGCAAATAAATAGACAAATAAATAGCAACAACAAAAATAAACATTTTAAATCGAAGTAAAAAAAATTACAAATAAATTGAAATAAAACAGTTGACACACAGCCACACACACAACGATGACAGTTACAGTGATAGTGGTAAAATAAATAATAAAACTATTTCCGGTTCGGTCCAAAACGGTGACATCAGACAAACATTTGATTACAATCAGTGTAGTGTATTGTTGTTGTATATGTTTACATATGTATATGTGAGTGTGACGGCTACAAACACAGCCAATCAATAGTAGTCTAGGTGGTGGTGCTAGTAACTAAATTTACACAGACAAACACACTTGCCAACAAAACAAATAACCACTGTTCGTGTATTGTGTATAGCGCCAAAAACAGGGTGTCATTACTATATATCGTCGGTCTATTTGAATGTGTTAAATGTAACGGTTATTTTTACAGTTAATCAAAACCATTTAAAAGGTACCAAATAAAAAAACAACAACTAACAACCAGTGTGCTAATAAAGTGAAACGACCAAACCAATAAAAAACGAATAATCGCGTAAACTACCACTATAACAACAAACGGAACCGCTATAGCTGAACCGATTAAAAAAAGAAATCATTGGGAAATCTGATGTCAGTTTCCCTCCAAAAGCCAAAAAGTGAATAAAATAGAAAAATAACAACAACAAAATACTAAAAATATAAAAAAGTAAAACGAATATCGTGATTCCTATCTAGATTGGCCTGCTTTGTGAACACTCTTACACCTTCATTCGGTTTTAACCTTTTGCTGTATTTTTGTGTTTTGTTACGTTTTTTGTCTGTTGCTTCGTGTTGTCGTGTTGCTGTAAAACACGGCATTAAATTCACATTATTGGGTTAAACCCTATAAAAATCATTATAATTGAATTTGTCAGTGTATGCGTGTCAACGACAGTTTATTCCATAGAATATAACCAGAAAAAAAAACAAACAAAAGCAAAAACACCAACTACAAGCATTTCGGATTAAAGTTCACGTTTTGGATTTTTAATATTTACAGAAATAAATAAAAAAATAACAATAAACCACCACTAACACCAACAATAGCAACATTTCATTCATTGATGAGCCATCATTGATTATATTTGGTATTGTTGTTGTAGTCGCCGTGTTGTTTTATCACCGCCATCACCGTCAAACTAAACGGCCAACCATTATAATAGACCCCATTAACGTCAAACGCAAATTTTATCATCACAATGGAGCGTAAACATATCTATGTACTCACCCTATTTTTGGGTCTTTTGATTTTTAAATTGAACATTTTCATCGTTACCGGCGATCAGGATGAGGACATTCCACATAACGAGTAAGTATTAGTTTTAAAAATATTTGTTATGGTATTTGTTGTGGTTGCATAGGCACTACTATTTTATTTAAATAAAAATGTATATGAGCAATATTGCTAATTTTTAAACACAACTGAATATGAGAAAATTTATATTTGAAAATGGCACGGATTTAATATGCGATTTTTGTAGATCATTTGATCATCAATAATTAATTTGATGCGAAATTTAATCATTTGCGAAATCAGAACATAAAAAACTTATGTCAATATCATGGTTCTTGATGGACCGCATTGAAATAGATATAAGATGATGTATTTTTGTATGGAAATCTGATCCACGTTAAGGGCATATTGTTTTGTTGGACATTATTCAAGTTTTGGGCACTGAAATCCAGATCCTCTAAATGTTTTATTTTGTTTTAATATGTGACTCAAAGTTTGACTTTTAAGGCCATATTTTCGAGCGGCGGACGTTGACGTCTCAAGGCCACACACACACTATCGCATTTTAGTCAATACAGGCACGTTTTGTCTTATATATGTAATTTCGAACCATATTCTAAAAACATATTTTTAATTAATACGAAATTGAATGGAAATATTACCAAAACATGTTAAAAAATAAAAAAAACTTACATCTTAATCTAGCGATTTCAAACTTTGGAACATAGTTTTTCCATTATTTTTCATATTCGATACCTTTATGCCGATCTACCCGAAGCTAATTTACAGCGAAAGTATATTTAATTATTTTTTATATATTCTTATATTGTAATTAAACACTTTTTAAAAATAATGCCTTAAATTTGTAAAGATTTATACACGAAATACTTGTTTAAAAATAGAAAAAAACTTACATCTAAATCTAGTGATTTCAAACTTTGAAACAGTTATTTTTTTTTTTTTTTGATATTCGATACCTATCGATCGAAGCTAGTGATTTGCAGCCAAAGTTTCTAATAAAACAATATAGGGAAAATACCAAAAAGTGAACCTATACCGACATTTCTACAAACCCATTTGGTAACCATAATCCAAATTTCAGAAATTTTTAAGGGATAATTATACCCTCAGCCTTATGGCGAATGAGGGTGTATACACTTTAACACGATGAAAATGTGCCTCATCGAAATATTGGTTCTAGACCCCATGTTTCTTTGGCCAAATCCGTTTCAGAAAATAAAGATTTCATCCAAATTTAGCCCATCTTATTATTTCTTCCAAACCTAGTTCAAATTCGAAGATGGGGAATATCGGTCCACTCCTTCTGAAACCTGCACACAGGAGCTAGGTCTAAATGCGGCTATAGTTCATTATGGAACCTTACGTTCTAATTTTTTTTCTCGCTATCCTCCGCAGGTGAAATGATTACAACAGAGACTTAGAACCAAACTCAAAACTCGGAACAAATCAGATAACTATTTTAATATACCCCAAAAAGAGGGCGAATATTAATAATTTTTCGTAGGGAGATTTGTTACAATATACGACTATAAAATGCCAAATTGCAGCAAATTCGGCTGAAAAACGCGCTCAAGAACCCCAAAATACCGAAAATTGGGGGTACCCTTATATGGGGGCTATTCGAAAATATGGACATATATTCAAAATTTTTTGTGGAGATATTTGGTACCTATTAAGAACTCAAAATACTAAATTGCAGCTAATTCGGCGGAAAAATACGATCAAAACCCCCAAAATAGTGCCAATTAGGAGGTACCGTTATATGGGGGCTACCAGAAAAAGTGGATCAATTTAGTACCCAATAACAACCCAATATTGCAAACTTCAGCGAATTCGGTTGAAAAACGCGCTCAAGAACCCGAATGTACCGAAAATTGGATTGTAACCTTATATCGGGTGATAAAAATCGCCAAAATACTGAAAATTGGGGGTATCGTTATATGGGGACTACCAGAAAAAGTGGACCTATATTTAAAATTTTTGGTGGCGAAATTTGGGACCCAATAAGAACCCAATGTACCAAATTACAGAGAATGTGGTTGAAAAACGCGCTCAAGAACCCTAAAATACCGAAAATTGGAGGGTACCCTTATATGGGAGCTTTGCCTAAACGTGGACCGATATAGCCCATCTTCGAACTTGACCTGCCTACAGACAAAAGACGACTCTATGCTAAATTTTTATTTGCATCCATATGTTTTCCATCAAGTCTACGAAAATCGTGAGAATCTTCAAAAATTGTTTCGAACTGAAATATAAAATACAATGTGAAATCGCCTTTCATATTCAGAACGAGTAAAAATATTATATTCATGAAAAATATGTAATTGACAAAAACATTTTAAATTTTATTTTCTCGATTTTAACCGTTGCATGTAACTAAAACTCTATATGTATTGCAATATATACAGTAAATATTCTTTATTATGAAGAACTGTCGGATTTGTCCAAATTATTTACTAAAAACATATACACTGCGTATCATAACTATTGACGCACATTTAATTCAATTGGTATGTTAGTTGACAAATATTATGGATACTTTAAGTTATTCTACACAATATAATGATCAAAAAAATACTCTTTATGGTTTCGCCGAATTCTGTACTTTCATAACTATAGACGCACTTTTAAAACATTACATAAATTTATTTTTAAAAACGTATATGAAATAAATTTAATCTATAATGGATAGGGCCTCCCATATTTTGAATAAGTTCAAAAATTCTATCCATCATACTGTCTATAAACTTTTTTTTCGCAAATCTTCATCGATTGACCGCCAGTCATCGATAATCACTCCTTTGTGGTTAAATGCAGTTTGGTATTGGTATTATATAACTTCATTACTTTTAATGTACTGCGTATATATAAAATATTTTGCATATTAAAATAATTACATGTGTTTCAAATCAAGTCTTCTATTTTACGATTTTTTAGATATGTGATCAGTAGTTACTTTAAATTTATGAATAGACATACGAGCGTAGGATTTGCCTTTGATTTTTCAGATACTTTTTTAATCGACGTGGGGTAAAAAAAACTTCTTTCAGCTTTAAACTTTATTTATATTTAGAAAAAGATTTTCGCCAAATACTACAATCGTATCGAGTGGATTTCGCTTTCCACATAGTGATCCACAGATCCACACACAGACATTTTTATAAAATTATATGATTTCGTTAAAATCTTTACATTTAAATTGTATAATTCTCGACAATGTTTTAACTATTTTTTCCATTTTCCTGGAATATGTTTGTCATATTTACAATTAGTTCGTCCAAACATGGGACAAATAATGCGGTTCTATAGAAATACTCGGAGTTTGAACTCATTACATTTGATCTGTACTTTTGCGTAGCAACCTTCCTTGGCACTGAAACTTCTACTTTTTATTTCTTCTAACGATTCTACTATAGCTTCTATAGATTCGTTAAATATATGTACACAATTATGCTATTTAATCGATCGTGTTTCACAATTTGAAAGATTTATTTGCTTCTCGAAATATTCTACAAAAAGTAGCAGACCTTTTTAGATTTTCTAAAGAATTGGCAAATGTCCAAAATATTAGAAAATATACGTCAAATTTCTCGAATCTTCGAAATTGCATTTAAACTTCATTTTAAAATGTGAAAAGAACTATGAATGTGTACTGCAGAAATAAAATTTTGATTTAATAATGGTCTGCACTCCATTATAATTGCCTGACATGTTAGACGCGCCGTTATATCCTTGACCTTTCAAAAATGTGGAATCCAACACCAAACACATTATTATGTTTATTATGACGGTTGAAAATTCTTTTTTGTTTTATCCTTCTAATTCAAAAATGTGGAATCCAACACCAAACACATTATTATGTTTATTATGACGATTGAAAATTATTTTTTGTTTTATCCTTCTAATTCCGCGTAGGAAAGGAAACAGTATTTGACTATTTACATACCTTGTTAAAATCCAGCCTCAAAAATATATATAGTTTGTTCCGCTAAAACCGACCAGAATACAGCACTTTTCCCTTCTTCAACAATAGATTTCTGGATGTATTCTCCAATTATTTCTATTAAATCGTTCTGTATTTTGGGACAAACATTTTCTAAGTTCACATCTAACGACAGTATTTAGAATATGAGATACACGAAATCCGGGGGCCGGGGCGGATATAATGAACATTAAAAACCAGTAAGGAAAGTAGTAAAGTCGGACTGGGCCGACTATATGATACCCTTCTCCACTTTGGGTATATTCTACATATGTATCCTAACAATTGCATGTCAATATACCCTCGAAGAATCATACTCATGTCTTTCTGCAACATATGCTAACTAAAATTTTATTCGGGCAGATTAAAAGTCGTCTGCGTACCATGGGACAAATTTATGGAAAACGATTTATAGCAAAATTGATACACGCTATTCGGTACGCCGCACTGTTAAAAATGTTATCCCTGTCGAAATACACATGGAAGTTATGGCTGCATCTGTAGCAATTTCAACAAAACGCAATAACGTCATTCAAGCCTCAATTTGATACGTTGTGCAAAATTTCGTGTTAATCGGGCAAACATTAGGAGTTTGGTGCACCATCTATTAAAAATTGCACGAATATATTAGTAAATGTAGAAGCTATATCGACATCTAAACCGATTTTCCCGAAACTAGGCTAGACTCAATTCAGTGCGCTATGCCAAATTTCGTGCAAATCGAAGGAGGGACTTTGGTGCAATATTTCCATAAAATCATAATCATAATTAATACACATCGCTCTAGACTTAATATAATACGTTATGCCGAACTTCGTGCAAATCGAAGGATATATAGGGACTTTGGTGCACCATTTACATTAAATCGAACGAAAATATATATGGGAGCTATATCTAAGTCTGAACCGATTTTTCCCAATTTCAATAGGGCCAAAAAATGAACTGTGCCAAATTTCATCCAATTCGAATCAAAAATGCGACCTGTACTTTGTTTACAATTTAACTTGGGCAGACAGACGGACGGACGGATGGACATGCATAAATCAACTTAAAAAGCGCTTCTATGCAT